TCTTTCTCCGATTTGATCCATAAACAAGCGTAACCACAAGCTCATAGGACACAAACGGAAGCTTAACCAGGCAGGACACAGACTGGAGAGACTTGTGAAAGACTGAAACAGAAACAGAGGGATGCCAAAGAAGCCAGATCCTTCCTAATTCTGAAAACTCATAATTGCAGTCATAACGCCACCCAGGAAAGACACCATTGATGATCTTTGGAGCCTTTACTGAACTGACATGGGTCTCAACAAGACCACCAAAAATAGGTTTATGCAATTTTAACCATTTACTAAATCCGCGACGCTTTGTTTTACAGTTGAAACCTCTAATGTTCCAACAAAAAATATCCATATATGGGAAAGTTTAGAGGTTTAAAGGGCCCCTTGCCCTGTCGTTACCCTTTCCTCTTAATTGTTTTTGAATCCTTCTAGAGACCACACGAATGTATTTGTCTCCTTCATCATTTGGGTTGTCATCATCCTCAGATGGAACCTCTGAATCAGATGAAGACTCCTCCTCTGAGATCTCAGGAGAAACTGTCGGAGATCCTATAAAAACAGAGCTTAGATCAACACACAAACTGCCTTCCTTCATGCCAGGAGATGAGGCTTTATAGAGACTCCGAGATGGGCCAAAGGGCTGCGGAACCGATGGTGAACGAGTCTCGGAGGAGGAGGCAATATGCAGGTTAGAGTTGAATTTTGCAAACACTTGTTTTTGTTTCAGCTGTTTTGTGGTAGTGGTAGCCTCCTTGTCGCTGTGAGATGGCACTGGCAGAGTAGGCGCATTACCAACAATTGGAAGCTGGCTGTGAATAGGAGCTTTATCTTTTACGACCTTATCTTTTGTAACCTTGTATTTTGGGACCTTATCTTTTGTAACCTTGTATTTTGGGACACCATTGTTAGAGCGCGGGCAGTCTTCTGTCTTGTGCTTAGCTGACCGACAAGTGTTGCAGATTTTAGGAGCAAGAGAGCAGCGAGAGATAGTGTGACCGACTTTCAAGCAGTGTCCACAAACTGCAGGAAGCCAGGGACTAGACACTCTGATTCTTCTAACATCACCAGATTCGAACCTTGCGTTTACAGCCTCAGGTAGAGGCTTGCGAGGGTCAATGACAGTATACACTTTCGCTACTTCGAGATTTGTTAAGTTTTCTGTCGCGGGATGCAGGTAGAGGGGTTTTCCAACAAGACCCGCAATCTCTTTAAGTGCGTCACTGTTAAAAAATTGCAGAGGAACATCGAGGAAGTCAAGCCAAATTGGGATAGCTGATAGCTCAGGCTTCTCTTGATTCGTACCCGGAGACCACTTGGCCACGAACATCGTCTGACCGTCAATCTGCCAAAGGCACTGGCTAAGAATGCGTCGACGAGCATGAGGACAAGGAACTCGAAACAGGAAAGCACTTCCCTCCATTTTTGATACGGAGATATCACGTCTTTGCTTAGACCAAATTCCGTTGACAATGGCGTGAACCGCTCCACGGGCTGGGGGCTCTTCATAGAACTGTCCTACTATGAAGCTATCCCATGCTTTCTTGTTCTTTTCAATGACAGAGTTAGGAATTGTTACACATGCCTCACCAGATTCCAGAGTAAAAGGTGTTCCTTCCGGCTCCAGCTTCCTCGCGTTTGGCTTAATGTAACCTTTCCAGAACTTTGCTGCATCTTCAACCTTATCCTGTTCTTGAGTTCCGGTGGTATTGGGAGGCTTTCCTGTTACCAGCAGAGGGGGAGGTGTGTTCTCATCAGCAACCTGTGATGAGTCAACTTGTGCAGGTACAATTTCAGTTGTAGCTGCGATTTGGGAATTAGGGTTTACGAGAGCTGGCGCAGATGAAACATCCGATTCTGAAGGAATCTGAAGGTCAACTGTGACGGTATTAGCTGGAGAGAAAGAAACTCCAGGTAATTCGTTTGTCTTCGAAGAAGACGGTGAAATTGCGGCTAGATCCGAAGAGGTAGGCGCAGAAGAGTGAGAGGAAGAAGAAAGATCGGTGGAACCAGTGGGGTCAACACCAGGGGAGATGTGTTTGGGTTTCTTTTTCTTTGCCATTTCCGGCGGTATGGGCCGACGCCGAGATCGGCGCCGGTGAAGGTCAAAAGAGTGGGATCGCGTTTTGTCGGTGGAGAGAGAAGGGAGAAAAAACGGCTAGTTTTTCTGAAGCTGGATATATCATCGCGACCATGTTGCAAAAAATCATTCGAGGACAAAATGAAAATAATGCCATGTAGGTTGAGCTCAACTCCAAAAAATTAAAATTTCACATGCAAAAGTTTATGGGATTATGGATAGTCAGTCTCTTCTGCCATGTAGATTAGAAAAGAAATCGCCCAACAAGCCTTTATACTTTATAAGTATATTGGCTACTCTTTACATAAAGGTTATGTATGTTGGATCCTAATTAAGATAGAAAAATTCATTGGAAAAAATAAAGTCTGCTGAATTAGCTAGTTATTATTTTATTTTTTTTTGTAAAAAAATTAGCTAGTTATTCCTTCTACCATGTTAAAAAGTAATTCCACCCTGATATATAAAATGCATTTTTACATTGACAAAAGACAATTAAATAAACCATACAAAAGTTGAAGCGAAGCAAAAGAGCTCGTTCGTGTACTCACCTAAGCTCAAACAATGTTACATAATTCCATTTCTGGTTTCCTCTATAGTAAAAAGAAAAAAAGTTGGACACCATAACTCTGTATTCAAAGACAAAAGAAATACAACTTTTTTGTGGTTTGATGCTAAGTCATTCCATGCCCCATGCAAGTCCACGCCTCTGAACCTTTCCACTTCCTTTTTTCCACCAAAAGCCGACTCTCTCCCTCTATATACATGGATGTATATGTCCTCTTGATGGAGTATACTTTTACTTATGGACCATGCACTAATTAATGTTGACATCTGAGTGTGCCTTCAACAAAAAATCTTAGTAAGAGTTTTTTTTTTTTTTGAAACACTAGTAAGAGTTACGGTTGAACATAACGGTTACGGCTGATTGGCTGAATAAAATGCTGGAATATGCATACTGGCAAGTGCAGAAGCATTTCAAAGGTATACTGATGAAGTGGAAGAGTGTTTAGGTTTACTATTTTATTAAATAGAAAACGAGATTACATAAAATTGTTGGGGAGCACATGGTTCATACTATTAGAAGTACAATACGGTGAGAAACAATGTCTTGCAACGCACCACAAGGTCTGTATGTTTTGCTGTATGATCTGGGGAAATGAGCTTTTAACTGAAAACATCATCATTTTCGGTGCATGCCAAATTCCCCTTAGCATTTATTTTATTGTATTTTTAATCACTGTCTAAAATAATCGTAGTTTTCATTTATGAATAATTAATCATCATTCTTGGGATTATTAAAACACTTCATATCTTAATAATTGATATTTGACAGGCCTATTGTCATCATGCCTCGCACTCCACTCGTCTCCGTTTTCTGGCTTTACTGAAAATCCCAGAATTATTTAACCCCAGAATTACCAAAAAAATAAGAATTAAAAGGGTAACTTCTTTATTTTATTAAAAGAATATTGACAACACATATAAGAGCGAAAACAAAACATATTTACGTAATATGCTATTTATAATTTGACTCAGTAAAATCTTTAATATTTTTCCTAGCTATAATATTTGTAGCACTACATGCCACCCTTTTCTATTCGTAAGGTACAAGTTGACGATTGCCATGACATTTTGATTGTGAATGTATGTGCAAGCTATAACACTATAACCTTTGTAGTAGCTATACTTTTTATTTTATATTTGTAATTATTTACAATAGAACTAGAAATGCTGAAATTTAAAATATATTTCAGTTAGAATTTGTTTGACTTTCTGATTTGCTTAATCTGCATAAACGAATGTAGAACTAGTGAAATAATGCGAGTAACTACTTTCAGTAGTAGTTATAATATGTGAAATATGGTTGTCCATCTGCTGAATGATAGAATTTTTTGGGGGACATCCAATAATATGTAGTAAATTCGAAATTATAAAATGGTGCCGAGTATGTATGCATGAGTAAACGTACATATGTAGTCGGTTGCATTGCATATACGTGACATGGTTGTATTTTTGTGTCTCGCATGATATGTGTTCTATATAAATTAAAGAATATTAGTTGTAATGATAAGATACATTAGAGAATATACATTTTTTTAAAGCATTAGAGAATATACAATTATTGTTCTTCTCTTGTAGCTAGTATTAATATCTTGTGTACGTTGAATGGGTGTGCGAAATATTTCAAAACTTTGTTGGCTTGCTGACGCATGTAATATGCTGGGTTTATTGGATTTTATTATGATTGTGGATTGAGTCCTCCATGCAGCTAGATTGGACCGATAAAATTAGGGATAGCATATGCCATATGATAAATAAATAAATAATTTATGGTGATTTAAATAGTAACTGAGAATTCGTCCAAATCATTACAATTTTTATCATAGATTATCCACAGTTTTTAAGTTTATAAGTCTTTGAGTTCTGATAATTATCTTCTAATTTCGTTGTTTAACGCTATGTATATGTGGTGAAGAGAGAAAAAGAAAATACGTGTGTTTAATAATAATAACACCAAAATATATGTACTGAGATTTTACAACACCAAAATACATGTACTTGACTTCATAAGAAGCTTTTTCATATTAATCCCCATAACTCTGTATAATTGCAATATAGACCCCTCCCTCTCTCTCTTTTTCTCCAGCAATTTAATTTCCACATGATTCCAAACGAAGAATATTGATAGAAAATGAGATTTGCAAAATTTATTCTCTTCCTCCTCTAGTCCTCTCCTATCATTAAGACACATATACTCTCTCCATCTATCTCTCTCTAACTAGATTTATGGCTGCTCAGGTCTCCGACCATTCATTGACTTCTCGATCTCTGGTCTTCATCTAAGAAGTAAGAAACCCTAATTTATTATTTTCTCCTCCTTTTCCCCTCATGTTGAGATTATCAGAAACGCTTCGTCTCCTTCCTCTCTGCCATGGTTCTTGATGCTGAATCCTCCTCTTCCACAACGCTTCTTCATTCATGTGGGTTTTCTCGTAGTTTCGCTTTTATGAGGTTATTACAAAGGGCTCATCATTTCTCTGCCGTCTCTGAGGACGACAATAACAAAGACATTCGCTTAGGATCTGAATATAACCAAGTTTTTAGGAGAGATTGTAGTTTCATGGCCGATCAAGAAGAGCCGAGGAGTACTACTTCTAGGTTAATCTCCAAGGAAGACGACAACAATAATAATAATAATACCATCAAGAATGAAGCTGAAGATCACGAGATGATGAGACAAGAAGGGTGGCTCCGGTTAAGCACAGGCCAGGAGGATGATGTTAAACCGAATCTTGACCATGTCCAACAACATCAAACCGTTCCAAGGGTTAGGAGAGAGTCTTTTCTTGAGCTTAACCTTTCCTCTGGCGGTTCAAATAGAGAAGAAGGAGTTGGTCTTCCATTAATGTCATCTCTCTTTCATCATCAGAATCAGCCAAGAGGGATGATGATTAATCCATTGATGTTCCCTACCAGGCCTGATCAGGAGATGATTGGTTCTTGGGCGGGTGCTTTTAGAACGCCTTTTGTACAACAAAACCTAGTGCAACCATCATCATCATCATCATCTGCTTCTTTGATGATGCCATTGATAGGACCCTACTTTGGCCGCTCCAATTTTCAGCAGCAGTTAATAGGGAGTAATAATAATAATAATAATAATAATCCGGATGTGGTGGCTGGTCCAAGCTCCAGTTTTCGAGTCATTGATCCTCCTAGACGACCCCATTCCGGCGTTTGGTTCATTCTTCAAGCTTCTCAAAATCAGTAAGTGCTAAATGTTCACTTCCTAGACACTATGTTATGCAAGGTTCATAATTTCTTGATCACACAACATAAGTTTCCTAACAAATTGGATTTTCAAGATTATTATTATTTTTTTTTGTTGTAAATCATAAGGTGTTCTCAAGGTTATATATTTAGAATTTTAAGTTCTTTTTGTGAATGTTTTAGGACAAGAGAACCATTCTTGCCTCAGATACCCAAGAGCTACTTGAGAATCAAGTAAGTACACGTTGATTATTAAGATTCTACCATCTCATTAGTTCTTTATTAATCAGCTAGGTAAATTAATATACAAGAATGCCAGATAAAAGGACGTGAGTTTTATTTAAACTTTATACTACATATATGGCTAATTAATTTTGGTGTTCTTGGATTTCGTAGGGACGGGAAGATGACTGTTCAACTATTGAAAAAATATTTGGTCAATAAGTTGCGATTAGAGCACGAATCCCAGGTATTTTTATTAATCTCAGCAACTCTTTGAATCCCATTTCTTTAACTTTATTGTTCTAACATTGCTTGCCGTAACTACAATTTCCTTAGTTGTTTTCAAAAAAAAAAAAAATACTAATCTAAAACGTTACATAGCTACTTTATAAAGCATAAAAGATGATGATAGTACGATAAGAAAACATAAACATATTAGTAAAAAGAAAGAAGAAATCGTGGAGAGGGTACATTCATGGGGGTTGGTGTACTGAGGAACATGACAACAACATTGGAACTAGATTGCCACAAAAGTGTCTCCATGTTAATTAGGTCACAAGTACATGTCGTTGCTAGGTATAAGCCGTTTTGTTCTTTCTTTGTTTTTATATGCTCATTATCCATAAATTGATTTAACCTTTTTTAGTTTGTCTTACTTGCTCCTTTTTATAGTTTAGGGGTAATTGATTAACGGTCGAGCCACTAGTTAATGCCTAGTGTGATCAACTTAATCCTCATTAAGATGAGTGCACCCTTTAGTTTATTTCTTTTATACATCATAGATATATGGCAATCCACCTACCAACCTACTAATTTATACACAAGGATTGTTATAACTTAGGAAACCGATTCCTTTATAAACACATTTTTGTGCGTGCGTTTTAAAATGTTTTGCGTACATTTTAAAACAGCATACTTCGGAAATAGAAACCCACTTCAACAAACAAGAGAGAGAGAGAGAAAATATTCTCTCTAGTGTCTCTCACCCCAAGCTTCCAAAACCCTAGATCTACCGCCGCCTGATTCTTATTCTCGGTGACCGGTAGCTCCCCAGCTCCGGTGGCCACCCCTTGGCCGTTCTGTTCCCCAGCCTTTCCTTTAGCTTCTTCATCTTACCCTCCTCTTCCTTGTGTGGTGTCTCTGGATTTTCACGGAACTACTGTGAAACTAATCAAAGGTTGCATGCGTGTGTGGCCTTTCTGGAGCACCGACGAAGAGTATGGTTCATCAAGGAGCTTAAGGAGCCTTCGATTATCAGTCTCTGTTTTTCAATCGGAGCAGATCTGGGTCAGATCTGATCTCGCCTTCGCCGGAATGGATGGTGAAGCGCTGCCTCCTCTTTCCCTCAACGGCACCGGCTTGTACCCGTTTGACTAGCTAGGCTCGTTCTCAAGGTCACGTCAGAGCTTCTCTTCTCCCTTTGGAGTAACGACGGTGCCAAGGCTCACCATCTAGAGGACCTCTGTTCCCTAGGTCATGAGATGTCAACCATAGTGTGTCTTCCGGTGATTGATTGGCTTCAACTTGATGCTCTCGACGTCGACTCCTAGGGTTTTGAGGACAACCCAGGCGACGGCGTCACCTGCTCTCAAGGCGAAGCCTCTTCTTGTCGGTAAAATCACTTGTTTTTCAAGGAGATTCACTTTCCTTCCGTGCTTCATTCCCCTCTTCCAAGCTCCAGCAGATAACTCCGTTGTCTACTTGCTGTCTCCGTCCCATCCTTTGTGTCGCGTGGTCGGATGGGGAGCTGCATTTACCGGCTACGCTTGACCATAACTTGTGTCTTTCACTTCCAGGGCGTTTACTCAGGTTTTCAGCTTGGTCCTCTGCTTTGTTAGTTTGGGCTTTGTTTGTCAGCTTCTTCCTCCTCCTGTGGAGCTCCGGAGCGGGAGCCAGCCGCCTCTGTCGATGCCTGCTTGAGCCACTTCGGTGAGAGCTTGACTGAACCTGCCTCTAATTATTCTCTTGATGGCTGATCACTCTTAGTTGTCAAGAAGCGCTTGGTATGGGAGTCTTATATTGATGTCTCTTGTCCTGTAATGTTTATTAACTTCAACTTCACCACTGTTGGTAAGTTTGGAGCTTAATTCCTTAAGTGTCATTGGGGTTTTTTTTAACTTTTTGCGGCTCCAAAGATTCAAAATAACTGCAAAGCAGAATCTGGTTGCAGTCACTTGTAACCAAAACTTCATTATGGTTAATGATATTTACAATTTAGCAAAAAAAAAAAGAAATAGAAACCCGAACGTCCAAAAACAAAACGTTTTTCGGTATATAGGCTGAAAAAAGTTTTTTTTTTTGCTTAATATAGGCTAAAAAAAAAATTTCTCCTTTACTTATATATACCGCCTCGTTCGAAAAACTTAGTTCATGAAAATCAAATGTATAACGAGACATTTTTATACACATATACATATACGTACGTACAACTTTTACTATAGCTATATCGCACGCTTCTTCTAGTTCTAGAGATAGTTATTAGTTCAAATGATGAATACAGTAAAGTAACTTCTTATCATATACAGGCTTATCAAAAATCTTACGAGTCGAATTCATGAAACCAAAAGTGGCCTTCCGTTTATTTTTCACCACTTCCGTTTCTTTTCGGTGAAAGAATAGTTAGGTCTATGTCTTTAATAAACCCGGGTTTAACCTTTTTTTTTACAAAAAAAAAAAAATTGCGTACGATGCTTCTGGTGCAAATTTTAATCATTGATATATTGCATTTAGGAGCTCGCTTACTCATAATCACACGCACAATAAACTTGAGACTTCTTTTCTATGCTAAGATATAAGTTAACCGGGCTTCGTAGTCTGGTGGTAAAGGAACCCTGGCCACCACATAATTTACCTGCGGAGTTGGTGTGGCGCTCCAGACCACTTAGCGTAACCAGGAGCCTTTAAGTGGACGCTTAAAAATCCTGTCATGGCATGGGCTTAGGCCCGGTGGACTAGTCGATCACGTTTAGTGGTCGGATACTAGATTATAAAAAAAAAATAATGTGCATGAAACGTCAAATGGTGTGTGCTTATGATAATTTGCAGACGATGAAATGTTGCTTTTAATACGTGAGCCCTTTCTCTCTCTCTTATTTTCTTCCATTTCCTTCTAATATTTTCAAACATATTGAAAGCCACACACAATTGAATATTTTGGACGCCGTCCGAAATTGCATGAGACTTTTAAATAAACATATAATAAAATCCAACCTATATGGCTATACTGTGTATATCATTTTTAAAGAATTTGCGCTGCTTTGATCCATGCACATACACACACACACATATATATATAACATTGCATATAAAATACTTAGAAATATATTCAGTTTATATACTCATTTACATAAAACAAAAACAAAACGCTTAATTAAAAGGAGAAGAAGAGAAATTCAGTTGAGATAATGATCTTAGATTGTTTAGAATATACGCCACGTTGGTGTAAGCATGTTTTCCTGCAACATATGTTAGAACCTTTAGAGGTCTGCTAAACTTAATTAACCTGGAACCTGATAAACTAAACTATATTATATAATATTTAATTAGGTCAACTCAATATTTTTAAATCTACTCAAATCACAATTTTTAATGTCTCATTGCATTAACCCATGCCATGAAGTATGGAAAATGAGAACAGACAATCAATGTAAAACTATACTGTGGTATATATGCATATCTTTGTTTTAATACACATTAATTAGATGTGTGACAGGTCCATATATATCTTGATCAATAATTAAACTTCCATTGACAATCTGTGTTTATTTATTATCTATTTCTCATGAACTATTTATTATATGTTTCTCCCTCCGCTTTAATATAAGTGTAATTTACACATTTCCCGCAAAATGAAAAATATAGTAGTATGTTCCTATTAATATATAATTATTTAGATAAAAATAATTTTAAAAACCATTTATTGGTTAGTGAAAAAATAAGAAAGAAATTATAATTTATATGTAAAAATTTACATTGAAAATGTAAAATGATTTTTATTATTTTTTGTAACTAACTTTATTCTTATTTTGAAACAAAGAAAAATAGTAGAATGATATTTATTTAAAAATAAAATGGGTATTAATTTTATAATTTATGAAAATAGCTCATACGCACATGATAACTGTAATTTAACTATAATATCATTTAGTGCGTATCTATATATAAATGCAAAAGGGTGACATCAGGCAGCATATCAGCTTAGATATAGTTCTAAAGACTGTTAGTTGAAATTTATTTTGATTTAATTTTTAACCGGAAATAGCGATACGTCCACAAGATCATCATAATTTATTCTTTTTTAGATGATCATAATTTTCCTTTGGGAAAACAGATGATCATTAATCAAAGTTGCAATTATATGCATTCATATATGTGTACGCGCGTGTAATAAATGTGTGTGTGAATATATAAATATACAAATAATATAATGATGTTAATCCCTTATATATTAAAAGAGAAGCATTTTGCATTAAATGTTTTCACACCACCTTCTCACAATTTATTGTCTTATTTACTACCTTCTCACAATTTATTACCTTATTTACTACATTCTCACAATATATTACCTTATTTAGTTCAACAATTGTTTACCTTATTTACTTCAATTATAAAACACACGAGATACTTTAAAACTACAAAGTTCAATATCGCATGAGACAAGTTCGGAGGCAAATGAATTGGCTTGAGGGTCGATGTCAAAGTTCTGGAATGTTGTTATTAGAGCGGTGGGACGTATCTAAGATGATGGCTGTGAAGGGCAACGTACCGGAGCCCATGAACACGATCTTGGTTTGGACATGGCTCGTGTGTAGCGTGAAGAGATTGAACTCAACCTTGCTAAGTTTGAGGTAGTTAGTGTATTGAGGATAGATCTAAATGGTGAAATGTGTTGTCTTCGAGAGATCCCAAGGCCGTATAGTAGTGGTGCTCTGAAAACTCTATATCTTCACTACGTAGGTTGGTGAGATTGATTCTGTAGTTTTGGACTTTTGGGCACACGTTTTTAACATCGATTTTTGTATCCATAGGCAAGGACGTGGACATGAGCTATTGAACAAATTGTCGACATATATATGTGAAAGGTTTAAGGGCTCTTGAGATTGGAGATTTCTTTATACAAGTCGAGAATTTGCTTCTCGAAATGAGCCTTTTCACAACCCATCTCGAGACTAAAAGGAGATTTGAGATTGTCTCAATACTCTTAATGGTATTGACAGCAATATACTTTCATCTTACGTGTTTCCATGTCGTGTGGATGACAAAAAAAATAGATATATGAGATAAAATCGCAATTTAACCAAAAAGACAATATTTATAATATAGATATATAATTGGACGATATTAAAACCCGAAACAACCAATCCAAAACAAACTAATATGCAAATAAAACAGATATAATGTCTTCTTATCTTCAAAAAATACAACAAATTTAATCATCTTATTCCGCGCAAGGCGCGGGTCTAATCCTAGTGTGTGTGTATAATAGATTTGTGTAGGGCATAGGTATCAAGAGTGCATAATAAATATGAATGTAATGATTAGCCAGCCATAATCTGACTTCGTGGAGGCATTGTCTTCCATTTTTGTCTTTCTCCCTCTTTTTAAGTTTCCATTGACTTTCTAGACGTAACAAAAAGCTTTAAAAGCTAAAAGTATTTCATAAATTTCAAATTTCGTTTGGGACCCCATGATTTTCTTTTGTCAACAACTCATTCTTCATTCCACAAAATAAATAAATAAATTCACAATTGATAGCTACTTATATTTTATTTTTCTTATCGCTGTTAAGCAACCTAAAAGTCATCCCAGCCCTATATTGGCAAGGAGCTTAATTAACACTTGTTTCTATCCTTTTCTGAACAATGAAATAGCTTAGAACATCTATTGCTTTTTTTTTTGTCACAAGAACATCTATTGCTAGTTGTTATTTTATAGTAGTAAAAAACTTTATCGTAATTCACCATCAATATAAAAACGTTCTCCAAAGTATAGATTGTTTTTGTTTTCATGATGAGCCTTAGTTAAAACTTTCTTGGGTTAGAATGCTGGTTAAGTTTGTTATTTATTTCCTATGTTCTTAGAAAAATGTTAAGATAACATTTTTTTGTTTAAAAATATCATTTATTTTTTCAATGTAACTTTTTATATATAATATCTTTTTATCTTTTTAAACAGTCAATCAATTTTTATCTAAATAATTTCCTTTTTATTATTTTTTTAATCAGTGTGAAATATGTCAAAGTGATAATTTTAGTGAAACAGAGAGAATATATATTTTGTATGTGGACTATACCTTTGATATAGAAAAACATCCCAAAAAGGAAAAAGCTGTTGATGGTCATTTATTAGTCTAAAATGTTTTTGTTTTTGGTAGAAATTAGTCTAAAATGTTTTAGCAGGAGATGCCTAGAAACATGACTTAAAACTTTTTCACAGATTGATCTCCTAGACACATGACTTAAAACTTTTTCACGGATCAAAAGCACTTGTTCGTTATACCACATACAATAAACCGTCATGCTTATGATAGAAGTGGCTCATCAACAGCAACAATATATTTCTCTAGCCTGGTTTAGCTATAATTCTTTGTTAGTGTCTCGTGTAGGACCCTTTCTTTGGTGCTTGAAAAGCCTTTTCCCCATCAGTCATACTCGTATCCTCTTTAAGTGCTGCACTTTCTTTAATTATTTACTTATCATCCATCCACTGCAGCCTATCTAAATTTTAGATGTTTTCCTTTTGTTTCGCATAACATTTTGTGTCTTTATCAGCAAGAATTTGTTTAATTAACTTCTCCACTATATCATCTTTGTCAATTCATTGGTGTTCATCCGGCCACTTGTAAAACTAAGAGCTGGATGTAACGATCCAACAAATTTTCGAAGGCATTTGGCAGATCGATGGTTGGTCCATGGATCCCATATTGTCATCTTACTGAGAATTTGCATTTTAGGGGAAAACTACTTACAAGACTTACTGATCTGTCACGTATACTGTAGCAAATTTTGACAGTACTTTATGTTCTTGAATGAATGTATAACTACTAATTAGCTAGTGATAATCTATTCACAAATTTTATGCGTCAACCATAAACTGTGACAAGAAGCTTTCTAAGGCTGACCTTTGTCGCCTGCAGTCCGAGATCTCTCTGCCTGGAATAGGACCAGTAACTTTTTCATTTTCTCACGACTAATTAACTATTTTGAAATTTATGCAATTTTGTCGACTGGATTTACACCTCACAAAAACTCATGTTTTGCTCAGACCACTTCCATTAATTTGTATTTACATTTACAAGTACATTTCTCATTTTTCTATTCTTGACTTTTTATATTTTTTAAAATGGCACATCATTATAGTAATATACTGATAAAAATATCCGTTAAATTTATTAATTTTTGTAGAACTATGCACTTTAATTTCCTTCGAGAGACTAAATATGCATCAAAAAAATATAAAGCACTTCTCACAAAAATCGATTTGGATATCCAAAATCTAGGTACCATATGTTGTCAAATATATAGAGGCCAAGATGTTTTTTTTTTTGATAAGTAGGCCAAGATGTTTTCGTACGCTAGTAAATGTTTTTAACTTGCAAGCTGGCATGCATCTTATATATAGGCATATATTGATGATAAATACATATTTTACGTCGGGAAAAAGTAATGCATGAAGTCGCCCTCAACAAAGGAATCATTGTTTCTGAAAGAAATTGCAATTTAAAAAGCAACACTAAAGGGCAGATAAGAAGCCATGAACATGATCTCCTTTAAGTTAGTGATGCGATGCATGCAACACTTTTAAATATATATGCATATTCGACTACGACTTTCATGGTCCCTATTTTATATTCAGTTTAAATCAAGTTATTATTTATGGATGTATGTTCTTTAATAAAAATATATAAATATTAAGACGTTGATAACTTGATATGTGAGATAGAACACCTCGTTCATTTGCTAGTTGTATAATTGTATAATGCTAAACAAAGAATATGGTTAATTTATAGCAATCGTAGACACTATTGCATTTGGGTATTTTAGGTATCTAATTGAACGTATCTAACTAACAGCATCAACTACTTTATAATGAAATATATATCTTCCTACTAAGAAAAATAAACATAAAATTTGTGACTTAAAATGCTTTGTGGATCGCAACCCTTAGTCAGAAAAACGTAAGGAGAAGACGTGCACGAGATGATGGTAAAGTTATCATGGGTTAGCTTATATTTTCTCGGCACAATATCCTTTTATATATATCATCGATCTATTCTGCAACTACATTTTCCTTTTGGATCCTAGTTTTTTTAATTTCACATATCTACCAAAATATTGTAGAAAGAAAGCTATATATATATATATAAGGGGGTAGGAGGAAACTGATATATTATATTTGGAAACTGATTAGGATAATTTGGCACGTCTGAAAACATATTTTGGATCCAACGATCAAATATGATTAGTTTTATAATTATAAATTTGCTTTGTGTACACTTTGATTAGCTCTAGATTTTCACCCGGAATAGTACTTGCTTTTAACCATGAGTTAAATACTGAGCATTACGGCATAACATTAAAGCAATTTTGGAAAGTTACTGGAAAATACATTACGGGTAGAAGAAAAAAAGGGTCCACGAAATGATTAAGATTTAGACATATCGTGGGTGCCCTTCCAATTTCAAAACTATTATCAAGTTAATTACTTATATCGTGTGTGTGTTAGTGTTCTTTAACATTATATATGAAATAAGTGGTGGAGTCATTGTTGGTGTTGCTATTCTTTGAAAAGCAATTTGTGTTAGAAAATGTGGAATCTCTTTGAAGTAAAGTATATATGACATAATTACAGCATTGCGTAGCCACCTTGACACTTGGCATTATCCATCACTCTCTCTCCGTCACCCCTACGAAGTAATGATCTCATTAAAGTCAACATTTATCCCATTTTATCACGTTCACATGCCCATCATATAGTAACACCCTAATACTATATACCTAATTATTTCTTATAAAAAATAATTAGTAGCTTTGTTCACTGATAAAACTTATCTACGGAACTATAGGAAATAGCGAAGCTAAAAGAAGGTTTTCCTATATTTTCGATCGTCTACGTTTTTTGAGCAAGGAACTCAATAGCAGATTCATTAATAAATTTTTCTAAATCTTACATAAAAATTATCTTTTATTGATTATTCTATTATGCTCTAAGTAATCTGATCATTTCACGTCTATGATTAAGTAGTATAATAACCGTTTGATATAAAAAAAACGTTTTTATGGGTATCTCTAATCACGTAGTAAATTTTGATCGTGATATTAATAATTACACTATTATTCATAGGACTAATTAACACTACATTTATTTTGCAAAATGGAGAGCAGGTAGAGATAAGATGCAGAGGGCAAGAACTGGAGCCAGTGTTGACACTACAACACGTGAGAGATGCAATATGGAGAGGAAGCAGAGACAGTTCTTCTATTTCACAAAACCTTACTTTGCTTCCAAATTCATCTACCTCTGATCATCTCATGGTTCTCCATTATGGTAGGAGTAATCTTTCTATATGATTCTATAATACTTATTCTCTATTTTATTACAACACCATATTATTCTCAAGAAAAATAACTGCCCACCCTTTCTTCTTTTAACTCAACATCACACCTTCTTCAAATGTTTTTCCCCCTCTTTTTTGTTGGCGGCTGCTTTCGATTATTTATATCTGTGATGAGATTTGTGGAACGATCAATCAAGAATGAAAGTGAGTATCTAATTCTTTAGGAGTATGCATGTCCCGGTTGGTGTTTTATTGTTGTATCTTCTGGGGGTTGTGAGTAACATTAACGCATGAAAAAATGTATTCGTATTTATATACAATATTTTCATGCTATTTTTGTTTCGGTCTATTGCTAGTTTAACTTCTTTTTGACATTATTGTTGCTGCATTTGTATGTATTTAAAACATCTCCATCAACGATACTCTTCTGGCACGATTCCCTAGGTCAATTTCTTTTCGTTTGACTTAAAAAAAAAAATCGACGAATCATGATCCACCACGTGGTAAACCAGTGACGATCCGGTATCACCGCAGCGAATTCACGCGACGTGGATTCACCATTTTTGTCTCGAAAAACGTGTGATCCCCTGTTAAACCTTCTTATAATCCCTCAATGGGATGGTCTTACTGTCTAATGTTTTGTCTGAGAATATGGGCTTTATCAGACCTATCAACGGCCCAAATTGATATCGAACTGGCTACAAATTTCAGGTCCTCTGGCCACATATTTTGATGACTACATTTTAGTCCAAGCATTGCTCTGATTCTATGCCTTTTACTAGCTTAGGAACAATCTGCAACACACAAATTAACTCTCTCAAGCGTTTAGTAACATGTAAAAATTGTAGAAAAACATGCATTACACTTACGTTTCATACAAGAACATTAGACTAAAAGCTATGCAGTTGTGTAAGCATGTGGACAAGCTCATCACTTGAAGGCCGGTCTGCTGGAAAGTCAGAAAGGCAGATGATGGTAATTCTTAACGCCATTAACATCTCATCTTCCTCCACTTCCTCTCCAAGAAGACTCTTATCTAATACTTCTCGTGCTTCACCAGACTGCTCCAAATGCTTTAGCCACTGTCCTAAGCTGCCTCCACTTGCACCATCTACACAAAAAGGTTGTGTAGGGTCTCTTCCGGTTAAAAGAACACCTAATATCATCCCAAAGCTGAATATGTCGCTTTTATCTGTATACCTGCCAAAAAAAGAATATACATACCAAAGTTAGTAAAAGAGAAGAACTCAAAGTTAACTCAAATGCAAGCAAGCACCTGTTACTTTGAGAAGACTCAGGAGCAGAATAGCAAGACACTGATGTGTGTGAAGTAGGCAAGATCTTAGCCAAACCACAATCAGCAAGCCTCGGCTCAAACTCAGAATCCAACATCACATTTGTAGGTTTCAAGTTGTAATGAAGAGTCTGATGATCACAGCTGAAATGTAGATACTGAAGCCCTTGAACAATTCCAACAGCAACTCTTAGCCTAACTTCCCATCCTAGCTCTAGTTCTTTAGCTCTAACTTTATTCATCACATCTTCAAGACTACCATTAGGCATGTAATCATACACTAGAGAGAACTCATGGGATTCACGAACATAAGCTCTTAAACTCAAAAGGTTCTTGTGTCTTAACATAGCAAGAAGCTCAAGTTCCTTCTGCAACCTTCTCTTAACCGACTTACTACTACCAGTTGAATCTGGTAAGCCTAGTGTCTTAACTGCAACCACTAGACCATCATCGAGCACCACCTTATAGTATTTACCATTAGGGTCTGAGTTAAGTAACTGAATATTATTACCAAGAGCTCCTTGAAGAGATTTGGGTGTAAGCTTAGAGGAGAAAACTACAGGACCTTTGAGAATTGGCGTTTGTTTCATGTATGTGACAATGCAACGGACCAAGAAAGCTAAGACTAAAGCAGAAACCAACCCGGTTAAGATTCCTGAAACGATGCTAATTACAATAACCTTGGAAGTGATTCTGGACTCTAGTGGTGTAGATGAAGGTAGAGTTGTGGATAAGTGTTTCACTGTTCTTCGCCGACAACTTGCGCTTGTGGTTGTTCTTGAAGTGAAGGCTAAGAAGAAGAATAAGAGGAGATAGATAGTGTTGCTTCTTCTTCTTTGCTCCATTTAGGAGCCAAATCTGAGAAGCCCCCTAGAAAGCTGAAGCTGTTCAAAGCTAAAAAAAGTCTTCTACTGTATCTGTGGTTGAAATGATGACACAAACAAACTAAACTGTTTCAGCAACCAAACAGACACACACACACACTCTCTCTAGACTCTCTTTCCAAGGAACAGTATGTGTCTGTGACTCTATCTCATGACCAAATCCATTACAGCCAAAAAAATAAATGAAGAAAAAGGAGAAAAGATGTGTTCCCGCCTTACAAGTGGGACCAGTGGATGTGGAGGCTCGAGAATTTGTGCACACTTTGTCTTAGCGTGTGAGATTATTACACACAAAAGTAGTTCCCTTTGTTTGTCTCGGAATAATTTACTCTCTCCTTCCTAATAATATTCAAAAGCTTTATGCGGAGTGCTTTTATTCAAAAAGTGATTAAGTGAAGTCTTGTTTTCAGATTTGAACACATTTAAATATATATAGCTTGGGCGGCCAGACAGTTGGGGTCAAAAACTAGTAATATAAATGTGATTAAGTAGATTAAAATGTCTTTTAGCTATTTGCTTCACTAACATATGCTAGGAAGTAAGTCTTTACTTCCTGTAGCTTTGTATAGGTTCTTGTAGGGGGAGATTCAATCATTTATAAGAAAAACAAAACCGCAAATTGTATGCTAATAATGAATCATTTATGGTTAATACTTACTGCAGAAATGAACAAGCCCTAAATTGCTTACAAGTTACACAACGCATGGCATGACAAGCTGTCTTGCTATAGTCTTACATCAAATACACACAACACAGCACAATCCACTATAACTTCCCAAAATAAGCAGCCTATATCCATCACAAAACATCAATACATAACTTAATTTGAGGCTTAGCTTGCTATTAGGCCCCTTTTGGTGTTTGATTGGCTCTTAAAACTCTGAAAGTAATGATGGAAACATAGCTCCCAAGAGTTCGTGAGCATCTGTATCTTTATCATCGCTGTCTGTGATTGTAACTGTTTGCAGCTTCTGAAAGGAGAGCCAGGACTTCTGTATCAGTAAACTTAGACTCTGCAGCAATGTCAAGAGCTGTTTTTCCTTCTCCATTAACAGCTTCCGGATCTGCTCCCCTGCAATATATACACACTTTGTGTTATTACCACAATGATATAGCAAGAGAAGATGTTATATACAAAGTGGTTCTTCTTAAGTCACCTCGTGAGAAGCAGTCTTGCTACTACCGCTTTGCCTCTGAGAATACAATAATGCAACGGCGTTTGACCACTTGAGTCTTTAGCATTTACATTTGCACCATACTGCAGCAAAAGCTCCACCATCCCAATGTCTGCCTTCTCACAAGCACAATGAAGCAGAGAGCAACCTCCAGTTTCCTCAAGAGGACTACTTGAAGAACAACCTAAGGAGGAGGTTCTATCAAGTAACTCGTTTCTTAATCTGAGTAGCACCTCCTCACGCGTTGGTGGCTTCTCTGGTATTAACATTACTCTTGAAAGTGTTAACGAAGAGCTGGAAGATGATTGGTCATACACAGAGTTCACATCAGCTTCACCGTTTACAATAAGCCTGTAAACTGCCTTCTTATCATTGCCACTCACTGCATCCCACATCTGTTGCGCAACTGATTGTGGGAAGTCACAGTCTCTTGATCTCCGGACAAATAGCTTCTCAGCATACTGTGAAATGACACAAGAAAAAGCTATCAAACATGCAAGAAAAATAGCTTCATTTATCTCAAACATAAGTAATCAAATAAAGGGTAAGAAGCTTAAGAACCTTGGCTTGTATATACTTCTCCTTGATAGATATCATATCAGCATAACTTGGTTTTCCAGTGACCATGACCCTTGATTTCTCAGACCTGACAATTATTATGCCTAGGTGATTAAGGTCTCTTATAGCTTTGGATGAGTGAGAAGGTAAATATTTCAGTTATAAACTGAGATTCTACCCTGGTAAGGCGCTTCTTGAATGAAGCAGTTCCTCCCATACTGTGTTTGCAAAAGTGTTCCCAAGAGCTTGGAACAAAGTTATAACAGAAGGCTCCCATACTTTCACATCAAGAGTAAGTGACCTAACCTGTAACAACAGCCAAGTCCAGGTTTAAGCTCATCAAGCCAAGTGTCACTTCAAGGTTCTCATGGACTTCTTCACTCTATATATGGTTCTAGTGATTTACCTTAGATATATGCACACCAAGGTTTCTGTGAACACCAGAACATTCTATACAGACAAGAACCCCTAGGTTCAAAGAAGCCCAGTCTGGTTCTGGAGCTCCACAATCAGCACATTTGTCATTCCCAAAGACTTTCCGCAAAACGTCAATGGGCTTCTCACCCTTTCTAATGGACCGTTGCGGCTGGAAGTTTCTTGATGGCCTTTCATTGTACCCCAAAAAGCTCCTCTCACATACAAACTCTTCAGTATTAGGAATGTCGTATTCAGAACTTTCATATGAGCTGCTTTCACTAGCGGACCGATGGTGACCACTTCCCATGGGACTACCAGGATGACACTGAAATGCAGCCAAAAGACAATCATCAAAAACTGCATTGGTCATACAAAGGAAGTTAAATAACACTTACCCGTTCAGGGACCTGTGAACTAAGTAGTGATGCAATAACTCCAGTGATCTTTTCTATCCAGTCCATTTGATCGAGTGCACTCTCAGCCTGCACTGACAAACATAAGTAAACACTGAGTGAAAACTATTAAAAGTTTTTAAAAAAAACTTGCAAACATTGAAGGTCTAAGGTAACAACAAACACTCTGAAACAAACCTGCAATGTGTAGTTTTTTGAAGGTGAAATGATCCTAAAGCAAAACCTCAGATCTGACTGATCAGCGTCGACTTTAATAGTTGAAGTAAGCAAGTTCACTGTATGACGAGCAACAGACTTCTCATCATGTACTCCACCATGATTATTCGAAGAAAGCCACCTACTAAGAAGTCCAGACCCAAGCTCCGAGCTGTTTCTCTGTCCAGAAACCTGGCTGCCAGATGGTTTGCTACATTGCTTTCGGTAATAATACAGCATTCCCCGGCTGTCAAGAACAAAAAACCGTCGTTTCCAGTCTCCTCTCAGGTTTGAAGACCGTTTAGAGAGATAACCTTGCCGTATTGTTTGCACCTGAAGAACAAAGAAGTGTTAATAGTACTCTTTTGAACATGTTCTCATTCATATGTAAAAAGAAGTTATGAACAACCTTTCCCCTTGCAGCAGATTGCATTACAGCGTCTATCATCTTGTGAGAGCTTCTACCAATGGCTTGTATGCCATCTCCATTTGGGGATCCATTAGAACCGTTTGAACCAAACCTGCTCTCTCGATCAACCTGTCTTTTGTACTCCTGCATCTTTTCATTAAGTGCTGCTTGTTCATAGTTTGATCTTTCTCTGGACTGTTGTGCATAGGTCAACACCTGCAAAAAAAGAGAGAATTGAGGTATAAATAGTTTCCAGAATCTAATTATCTAAGCATTCTCTCAACACAATAATGACATTGAAGAATCATGTATGGTATATATAAGTAAACCAACCTGATTGATATATGGCTCCATCTGATGAAGTAATTCATAACCCTGAAAGCAGCGACATTCAGATTTCACACAAACCTTTTAAGACTATTTTAAAACCCTGAAGAAGCTAACACACTTACCTGTTTGAAGTAGCGAAGATGTGCATCCATCGTTCCGCTGACTGCTTCCAAAAATTCAAACCTCTTCTTAGCTTCAACATTTGAAAGAGTAGTCACCTGAGCACAAATTAAGGAAACCAAAGCAACTAAAGGTTACTACACTAGAAGCATGGATGTGATAGATGGTATATAGATTCAAAACTAGTAATCAAGATCAAACAAGAGAATATTACAAGGTTGAACCGAGCTTGCTCAAACATAGACCTCGAAGTGTGAAGTTCCTGACAGTGTCAAATATGTTAGTTTTAACACAGAGGAATTAAAAAAAAAAAAAGTACATGGTATGCAAAAAATTAGGATGCAACCATACCTGTTCTAAAGCAGCAGCAACGTCACTTCTTGTACCTTTCCTCAAGGAAAGAAACTTCTCACGGGCCTAAAGCATAATAAGAAGTTAATCAGTTAATCTTTCTAGGCCAACTTGTTACGAAACAGCTATCAGTTATCTTCCAAGCTACAAAATTTGATTACTAGTAAGAGTTGGTGCTTAGATAAGCAAAATGAACAATTACTACCTAGGTGTTAGTCTTTCCGAACTATTATTTTTTTAGTGCAAACCATGTCAACAGAGTTGAGAATACGAAAAAAAAAAACTTGACCAGAGGGATACCTGATCATAGGTAAGGCTAGCCTTGTCAAAGCGCTTCCGAGCTTCCTGTGAAAAAATGAACTCTCAAGATTGCATATCCAGATATAAACTTGTCATGCTAGCCTTCCTTGGATATATGGCAAGCATAGTTTTACTCAAAAACAGAAAATCCAGACAAAGCAAGAAGCTTGTACCTTAACCTCATGCAAGTCCATGTTGGCAAATTGAAGTAACCTGTCATTGAGTATATGTTCCACCTGACAATGAGAACTCATCAAAACGAATAATAGGACAGATAAGACTTTATCTAATTTAAAAAACTTATATAGTGTCTTAAGTTAAATCAATATAATATAGATGCTACTTCTGCTGAAGGAAGACAAAACTATCCTAAGTTGATACCAGAGGAGTTATTATCAGAGAGACGGCTGGAGGTAAGAAAGCGAAGAGAATGTCAACAGTAACAAACTACATACCTGTGACCGAAGAACCTCCTTATAAGTCCCAATCTCCCTCAAAGCAATTGTAAACTTCGTCATTACAGGTCCTGGCACAACAAATTAAAATCAATAATGAAAAGTGCATGCAAAGAGTATGTGGTTAAACAAACAATATGCTACTAAGAGTTTCATTAGGCTAAGGTGAAGTCAGTTATACCTCCAAAAGCCACACTAATAGGATCATTATGCCCTCCACCAAATGTTTCAAGCGCACTAGCAAAAGCAATATCTCCATCATAAGCCTCACCTAGCCCTTCACTGGATAAAAATGAAAGCACAACGTAGAGATTAGAAGATATGTTCTCAAGAAAACTCTGCACAAGTTTGTGAATAGTTTAGAGCATAACGTGTATTTCCGGCATCCTTTGTAGAATTTGAGACTTCTTTCCCTCAATATTTCTGCACTCTCCTCCATGCTTTGTAACTGTTTCAGATAAAGGACAAGCACAAGACTAGAAGGCTAAGTACATAACAGCAAGACACAATCCTATGCTCAGACGGCTATGTAATTAAGGACAATAAATAAAAAAGTGATTTGGGCAACTATGCATAGATATACTCAACTACAAGGAAACAAAGCAGGTTTTGGAGAGAAATTGAGATAAAAATAGGAACTTCTTTTACACTTAAAAGTTGCAATCGGTTTTTGCTTCTCCTCTCGTGGACAGTAGAGAGGAACACTAGTAGCTAAGTGGACACTTTTTTCTAATCTAGTGTTGGGGCATAGTTGTCGGTCGGTGAACAACCCAAAATTCCGGATAAATCTTCCCCTAATATGACACCAAAATTCTAACCTGAGACAACTAAAAGACTCGAGAGATGAGGACAAACGTGGAAAGAGACCAAGATGTGTAGAAACAAAACCTGTTTGCGGAACATGGGAGAGTCATCAAGCTTGGTGAAATGCATTTTTTAGCTAATGGTTCACTTCCTCTTCTTGTTCCAAACAAACACCAAATAACATCACACGGGAGAAAAAAAAAAAAACTAAAAGCCAAGACCTTTATCTCTCACACCGACTTCATAAAAAAAAAAAAAAGAGATCCTTTTTCTCCTCCACCTAAGCTTTTCCACAAATAACAAAAAGAACCAAAGCCAGATGATCTTCCCAAGTCTCTAGCAATAGCTGTTTTTTTTTTTTCCCTAACGAAACACTCAGTGAAATCAAGAAAAAACAGTGTTTTTTATTAAAGATGCAAGTGTCTCGGGAGAAGAGAAAGAAAGAAACTTCACCGTCTGCGTGAAAAAGTTATCTATAGTTTAGTTACCGCCGGAGATAGTATAGATGAAGAGGTTGTAGGAGACGGCGTCGTTTCAAGGTGGTTCCTTTTAAACTGTAAATCAAAAGGAAGTAAGGACTGGACTGTGCTTTTTTCTCTGTAACAGTGGTCTTCTTCTGAGAAAACAAAGACTGTTTGATATTATCCCGTATACCCCACGCGCTTTGAGGTGTGTCTAAATATTTAAAGTGTGAAATAACGTGGAGCGTGAAGCGGACGCGATGCTTAGCGAGGTGGATTAAAATAGAACGGATAGTGGGACCCATACTCTGGTTGCTTCTCCATTACCTTTTGTTCCGGAGAGACAGAGTGGTCAGTGGGGAATAAATGATTAAACCATTTATTATAATTTTTTTTTATAAAATAATAAAATAAAACTCGGAAAAAAAAATTGTAAAGCATAAAGAAAAGAGAGATCGTTTGGGAAAAAAATGGACACCAAGATCTTTACTCTTTTTTATGCAGACTTTACAGATTCAAAGTCCCAATTGTTTTTTTTTTTGTAACTGAAAAAAAAAATCGCAATTGTATGATCTCTTCTCCAGCTGGTAGACAAAATTGTTTATTAATATATAATCAGAACCAGTGTTTATCAGTATGGGAAGTGTTTCATTATCTATACGTATTTTTAGAGTTGTTTCAAACGAAACTAAGATAATCTTCTTCGAAGTAATCAACCAACATGTTAATATATTATATCTGATTCTGGTCTTTCTAATCAAATTCTCGCATCATTATATATCGTATGAATGTTTATCTCTCATATGATTTCCGACCTAGTACTCTAATAAAAATGACTAGTAGTCATATCTCTTTTCTTTTTAGGTGTCCCCTCTTTGATCTCCTTTTAGACCTGAAACAACCCTACGGGGTCTTAAAATCTATTTTAATCCAACCTTAAAAATATATTATAACCAACCGAAAGTTCCTTCCAAAGATTTAAGAAAGGCCCAACAAGGAAGTTGCTTAATGTCGGACTCAATTCTTAAAAGCCCATTTAAAAGTTCTAATAATTCATAAGAGCCCATTTAGATGAACCAGTAGTGATCAGTGTTTCATTTCACAGTTTGTTTGTAAGAAGACAACGTGGTCTTAAGCATCGATCGCGATAAAACCAACGAGTAAGATTTTTTTAACGCAGTGAGTCAAGCGAAGCTTGTTCTCGAGTCATCTGATCTCATTCTATTGGACTTCACTAGCTATGCTGACACCTCAACGTTTCTCACTATGTGATTTACATGAAAGTAAATGACAAGGAGAGAGAGAACAAGAAGAAGTATATGGAACTCAATGAACAATGTTTACAAGAGATGTCGGTTCAAAGACGGTTCGGTCGGGCCTCTAGAGATAAGAATGGTGCGTCAAGGGATGCTTGATTCTCTCATGGACTTCTTTATCTCACAAGGTGCTTTCCATTGCTCAGTACAAGACTCTTAGATGCGTTAAATCAGGAAGTTAGAGTTTATGGAGGATTATGTGGTTGCCAGGTTCTTTAGCACTTGAAATTGTTGTTTCTTTGATTATAGGCCCAATATTTGTGTAATATAAATATGTTTGCTGGGGATGTATAGATCAGTGGTGTGGTAATATTGTAACAGGTGCCTATGTTGTGTACTTGTTTGTATGAATGGGGTTTGAAAATGCTCAGTTAGCTTTAAATGAAACTCAAACTTTCTTTCACACTTCACTAACCAATACCAAAGAGTTTAGATAGAGGACAATCCATTTTACAGTTTCATTTCGGTTCGGTTCATTATTAATTTTTTCGGATTATATCTGTATTGGACGTTCTAGAGAATCACTAAAATAGTAAAATGTTTTGTAATTTGACTGGTTTTTGTTTGGCTTGATATAGTTACGGTTTAGTTAAGTAATTACGGTTTAAAGAACTGAACCATATACTTTTTTCAAAGCCAAACAATACATATGAAAATTACTCGAATAATTTTCTATTTATTATAAATGCTTACTCTTATAAATAACTTATAATTTTATAGTATCTCAAAATTATAATAAAAACAAAATTTTATACCAACAGAAAGAAAATAATATTGATATATGATAGAGAAAACTTATTATATAAAAGGAGAAGAGAGGTAATGGTGCGTCTTTCATCGAACACAGACATTTGTATATATAGAGAGTAAAAAAAGAAAGTTATTGTGATTACGTAGTGACAGTGGATACTACACAATAAATATACATACGTAAATGTCAATCTTCGATGCGTATAATTTTGACGTTTCTTTTGCACACGGTTTATAACACTTACATCTATATATAATAAATGTGTTGATCAAGAATTTTTTTGTAGATTTTATTTTATTATTGGGTGTGGGTTTGTAATACTAAAATTATATTTGGTTCAGCTTTAGTTTATTTATATATTCTAAAATTAATAATATTAATTAAGAATAATTTAAATTTTTATTTTTTAAAAAATTAAATTATCAATAATACTCGGTTAAACTATATCTAGAATTCGATATAAATGGTTAACATAGTAGGTAATCTATTCCATAATATCAATCGAAAAATATTTCTAGTTCAGATTAGATAATATAATATATTATTGGAGTAGTCTATTTTGTAGTATTAAATGTGTTTTTTTTTTGGAAGTCGTTTAGATTTAGAAAAAAAAACCGTTTGATTTGACTATTGAGTAATATCGAATTGTGTTAATCGTGGAGAAAGAAGAAGCGGATTTTGAGATTTCGACTGGGATGGGTTCCATTTTATATAGTCTAGTTATTTTATTATTTCTCTTATTTGGCCATTTTGGATTCACGAATCACGCCGCTTTTGTTCAATTTCAGAAGAAGAAAAAATTGCCTTTGCTTTTTTTTTTCGAGAAACAAAAAAAATATGCCCTTGTTTTTCTTTTAATTTATTAATAATCCCCTAAGCATGCGTCAACCAAGGATATGTACTCTTTAACTACACAATGGAAACCACAAAATATGCATAAAGGAAGATCGAAATATTTCAAGAATTTATGGTTATGTTAGGTGATTTTTTTTTCTAAGTTTGAGTTATTGTGTTAGGGCTGAGCAATAATCGTGATATTATTTTTAATTCCTTTTTCAGTGAATTTTACTGTTGAAGTAGTCTGTTTATGAAGAAATCAAACACTCAAAATAGTTACCCGTCTTAAAAATTACATAACCAATCACAGGTATACCATATGTGAATATCTGCTTCAGATATTTATATATACACATTTTGAAATATATAAAATTATATATATATATATATATATTATATCTACCTAATAAAAACTTTTAATCAAAATAATTATAATACTATCAAACATTCACAGATAAAGAATTGTAATCTTTAAAACTCTTTATATGGTTGTCTTAATTATTTTTCAGCTAACTTTAAATTGAAAATGGATAAAAAACAAATATAAAAAATCAAAAATAGAAACAAAAATCAGAATAATGACTAGTTCCGCACTCATTCCTAATTTATGCGTAACACTGCTGCCAAAACATGCGAAGCTTATCAAGCTCCCCAAAAATTAAAGATTGAGAAAAAGAAAAAGAGAACTATGAACTCAAACGAACGGTCCCACCCCGCACCATTCCAAAGAATTTAATAATTGTATATTATATGCTCTTTTCTTGTAGATCCTTCTCTTTTTTTTTTTTTGATCAAGTAGATCCTTCTCTTTATAAACCCTTTCTTGACCTCTTCTTTCCTCATATCATAATATCAATAGCCTTGAGTAAAGAAAACCCTTACCAACTTCTTCATCACCAAGCCAACCTCCATGTTCTAGTCACTCCACAGATTCCTTACTCAGTTTACAATCAATTTGTTCAAGGTCTTGTGCATATACACACACGTGGTTTTTTTGTGTGTGTGAATTGTAAAAGTGGATCGAAGATATGGAAAGGGATTGGTTCCACCGGAAACGTCGGCAGCGAGGGAGAACCCTTCTTGGAACGAGTCAGATGTCACCGCCATGATCTCCTCTCTAAGTCGTGCCATCGAGTATCCTGCAGCCGACGGACACGACCAGGTCAAACAAGAGCTTGAAAAATCGGATCAACTACAACAAGACCAAGGTAGTTAATTACCACATGTCTATAATAACCAGCTTAATCGTTTTAGCTATAGCTGATGCAACTTGTTAGAATAAGTTAACTAACTAAAGACTTGCTATTAGTAAACCTTTCAATCTTCTTATATTTAATAATTAGGAGGAAAAAAGAATTTGTATGTTAGGCTCAAGTTCAATGCATCTGTCATTTAATTTACTTTACGTAAAGAACTTTACTTCTGTCTTTGAATAGAACCACCGATCTGGTTACTACGTGTCTATCCTTTTAAAATACATCTAGACTTCTTTTTTTTTTTGTTTTTTTGATAGTACTATAGTTAGATGATATTTTATCAACGCAGGCTTTAACTCGTCAAACATATGTATATAGTCTACATATGGCTTTCTTACCTAACTAGATATGAGTATTTTTAACCACGCACGGTTCTTTAATTCATTTCAAATCAACTAGTACTAGTTTTTGTCTTTGATCGATTATTCTTTTTTTTTTTTGAACTTTAATTATGTGTGTCCTTTAAGTCTAGATTTTGATTGATTTAAACACGATTAACTTGTTTGTTAGGCGCGTTAAAATCCAAATAGGTCATACAACTCAACCCAAAAGTAGTTATCAGAAATCAAGTCTTAGTTTATATTTTTTTTGATTGATAGTCACAGCATCACATTTTGTTCGTTGAATGCTAACTTATATTTATATGTGTGTCATCCTGTATGCACACATACAACCAAGACTAATCATTCATAGAAACTAAAACTCATGTTTTCTTTCCAAAGCAAAAAAATAGCCAATTGATGGCTTTATTTGTAGATAAATCATTAGTTGATACCAGTAAGTCTTAAATTTCTCAATTTTATTAGTTCTCTGTAAGTTTTTTTTTTGTCAATATACATCTAAATTAAAAAGTTTAAATGCAAGTTTCTGAGACGAATAGTTATAGTATATTTTGCAAAATTCTACAATCGACATATTTTATGCATCATTTTCATTAATTCATGTTTTGCTCCTTTCAAGTAATAAACATTTAAACTAATTTTCTCTCAAATTGTTTTCTTGGTATAACTATAATTAAAACCACGTATAGTATCTTCTCATGCATGTAGTTGCACATGCAATAATTATTTTTATTACATACAATAATTTTTTTGTTTGTTGCAACCCTCTTCAAGATCAACCAAGAAAAAGACACTATAGAGGTGTAAGGCAGCGACCATGGGGCAAATGGGCGGCCGAGATCCGTGACCCGAAGAAAGCAGCACGTGTCTGGCTCGGGACTTTCGAGACAGCAGAAGACGCCGCTTTAGCCTACGACCGAGCAGCCCTCAAATTCAAAGGCACCAAGGCTAAACTAAACTTCCCTGAACGAGTCCAAGGCCCATCAACCACAAGCTATGTTGCATCTCAATCCACCACTGATCATGCCCCTAGAGGAGGTAGTGAACTAATGAACTCGCCTCCTCCTCAGCTTGGTCCATCTAGTACTACTTCGTGGCCAACGAATTATAACCAGGACATACTTCAGTATGCTCAGTTGCTTACGAGTAACAATGACGATGCTTTATCATACTACACGTCGAGTCTCTTCAGTCAGCAGCAGCAGCAGCAGCAGCCATTCTCGACGCCCTCTTCGTCTTCTTCATCGTTAACTTCCCAACAAACGCAGCAGCAACAAGAGCAGCAGCGTGAAGAAGAGAAGAGCTATGGTTACCACTATTATAACTACCCAAGAGAATAATACAGTTATTATTGTCGATCAAATAAGTTTTATAATCTTTAGTATGTTTTCATTTTTCGGTTTTTATTTCCTACCTTTGTTGCTATTAGAGGCGAGAAAGTTGCACCAAAATATGAATGAAGAGACATATGTGTAACGTTTTCGCCTTTTTTTTCTTTATTGTTAGTAAGATTTGGATTTGTTGATGTTCAGTGTTTTGACACATGTCTTTCCATGGATCTTAAATGGATTCAGTACCAACCCTGAGGAGAAGCATTACAAGCAATCGTTTCCAGCCCTAAAAAAATATTTGAAAAATTCAGCCGTTTTTATAAGAAAATTATTATTATAGTATATAAACGTTCTTATAAAAATGGCCAATTTTATGAAAATTGCTTTTGGTATTTCCCATGTCAGGACCGGTACTGAATGGATCAATAGAAATTTGAATTCGGAGAAGGCACAATGTTTAAAACATATCTATTTTATGGACATTAGTTTTAGATGATCAGTCTTTTTTTTTGTTACATCTGTAGTTAATATTATATGTAATGTAGCCTATATATCATTGAAATAAAAGATAAGAAATAAGAACAAAATATGTATATATAAACCTCTAAAAGAAGACAAGCCACATGCATGAGAACTAATGAAGTATTTTATAAAATGGTGTTCGAAAGAAAGTTTTGTCCTAGGGGGTGGATTACTAAACTAGAGGTCACTCCTGCCGTTTAGACCACGAACGTATAACCATAGCTCAAAGCTGAATCATTTTAAATAGCATATATTCAAGGTCTATTCAAAAGATATCTGATAATTTGATTATTCGACGATTTGATTCATTCATTTTTAAAGAAATTAGTCGAATCTGGGGCGTATTTTAAAGATAGGTAAGCATTGAGTAAATCGGGTCAAACATGGTTTCAAAAAAAAAAAAAAAAACTCTTGTTGGTTTAGACAAGCAGAAATGATCACTGTAGGAATATCGCAATCGCTAATCATTTAAAGAACAAAAAACGTGTTCAACTGAGAATATATTCCCCAAAACCAAAAAGTGTTTGTAATATAGTGAGACTTATCTTTCCACATATTCATGTGTCTTCTTTAGAACGCATTTATGTAACAAAAGTGTTTGTAATATAGTGAGACTTATCTTTCCACATATTCATGTGTCTTCTTTAGAACGCATTTATGTAAATACATGCATCTATATGAATTGTCCAACTTTTTTTATTTTTTTATTAATTTTATTCTTTTCACCCATTGACGTTTATTTGGATTATTGGCACCATGTGAGAATAAGACAAGCAAATTTGGTCTCGAGATTTAGATCGAGCTTGGCCCACCAAACCGTGTAACTTTCATTATTTGTACCCCGAGTTTGATTGGTCTTCCTTCTGATCGTCTCAGCACTTTTCAGCATATATTCCACACCATTATACTATTCCTTTCATTATCAATAAACAATAACATTTACATTATATTACTATACAAAATGTTAAAAAAAAATACGCACACATGTTCACCTGAAAGGGACTGAATATACAAAATGAAACTTTTTATAAACTGAGTAAATACATATACATGTTCTCGGTTAGTAGCTAGAGATCTTAATCTTACTCGTAGTCCTGGATAATTGATTTATGAGATTAGAAGCGATGATGTAGAAAGATAAGTGAAGAGCTTCTTGAGAGTTACGCATGCGAAAAGGCGTAGGGAAAATGGGTCCTATCCCACTTGTTACGTCAAGTGGTGTTATATTTTGAGAGGGTCATCTTCGAGATACCATGACCCAGTTTAATCATCTGCAAATCCCAATACATATCTTTCAAATTCTTTATTTGTTTCCCTATATAAATTTCCCACATTGTCAATCCTAACTCGATCATGATACTACAGTTTCACACACAATCGCTACACTGCGTCTACATGGATGTTGCTTTGTGTCATTGTGTGATCAATCTGTTCAAGTGTTCTATGAGCCTTTTTCAGTAATTAGGTATTTCTAGCAGCTTATAACAAGAGATGTAAATTATATACTTTTGTGAATATAAACATGGATTAAAAACAAAGAAAGTATAAAAAAATTTAGCGGAAAACGTTTGGAGTAAATACTCATTTTAGATTTTTTATATTGACTATATGAATTAATTTATGATCTTTTATATTGTCTCAAAATTTGTTTTTTTTTTTTAAAAGTTCTTATCTATTAAAAATGGGTTTTCCAATCCTAAAAAAATATATCTCAAGGGATTTCGATCTCGCACCCTTCCAAATATGAGATTTGATAGTAAGTTAATTTGTTTTGCGCTTATGATTTTATTAGTGCACAGAGATTTAATTCACTGTATAATTAACATATACTTCTAATTTTAACTATCTAACTAGATTTTAGTTTTAGAAAAATATTACTTTTCAGAAAGTGATATGAGCATTACTAAGAATCATAATAATCTATATTATAATAGTAGACTTTCTAGGCTCCACAATGCGCCACGTCAGCAGTTTTGTGGGTCCCGTAGGTATGTTTTAAATACCATAGTCTTGGTAAGGTGATTACAAACAATAAAATACACTTTAGCCAAGTGGTATAAGATGTCTAATTAAGCATGCAAGATCGTGGGTTCAAATCACGCAGTCTTCATGTATTTTTGATTTTTTTTATTTGGGTTATTATCATATGGACTTTTTGTTTATAAGGTTTTTATGTTTTTTGTTTGGCTTATTGTTTTAAAGATCAAAATAGTTGGATAAACCCTAAAGCTTATTGATCAAAAAAAAAACCCTAAAACTTAACAAGTTCAAACAAAAAAAATAGTTAAAAATGGATGCAAAAACGAACAATAAAAAAAAAAAAACAAGTCTCATGCGGTTGCCTACGCGGATGGCTTAAAGAGCCTTAAAACTATCCTATTATAATATTTCAACCCAAAAATAATAAAAAGTGAATCCAAAAACGAATAAACCAAAAAACAAAAAAAAAAGTGAATCACACGCGGCTGCCTACGTGGATGACTTAATGAGGCTTGAATAATATAGATTAAAAGCTCAAAAAGTTATATCATTGCACATATTTCCTAATATATATTTTCAAAAAAATTGTATGTGAGATAAAATAAAAAAACAACAAAAATTAGTTATTTTCGTTATTTATTAAATGAATATGTAATTTCTCTTACATTTTAATAACTACTATAATTTCATTGAAAACATTCTTCACCACCGATTCCCGACTCCGGCGAATGGATTCCCACAGTCGATGACGCCGTAGATTAAAATTCCACATCATTTATGAACAAAACTTAAACTTACAAAAAACCATATATAAAAACCTATCTAATGAAACTTAAACAACGAATGTTAACTTAATTAAGGTTATTTTCAAATTGATAAATCGTTTAATACAAATATAAATACTATAACTATAGAATTATATCAAGTTTTGATCTACGATATAAAAACTATTTACAGCAAAAAAAAACACATACTTTTACACACTAAAATTATATTATAGCCTAACTATTCCTATAAACCTTACTTCGCATATAAAAAACATTTAACACATTCCTAATATATTTTCAAAAAATTTGTATGTGAAATAAAATAAAATAAACAACAAAATTTAAGTATTTTTCTCTTATTTATTAAATGAATATGTAATTTCTCTTACATTTTAATAACTACAGTAATTTCATTGAAAACATTTCTCACCACCGACTCCAGACTTCGGCGAAAGAATTCCCACAATTGATGACGCCGTAGATAAAAATGCCACATCATTTATGAACAAAACCCAAACTTACAAAAAAATCATATATAAAAACCTATCTAATGAAACTTAAACAACGAATATTAACTTAATTAAGGTTATTTTTAAATTGATAAATCGTTTAATACAAATATAAATACTATAAATACATAATTATATCAAGTTTTGACATACGATATAAAAACTATTTACAACAAAAAAAAAATGGCACCTACTTTAACACACTAAAAACTATATTATAGCCTAATTATTCCTATAAACCTTAATTCGCATATAAATAAAATTTAACACATTAGATATACAATATTTTCACTTTACACTCTTACTACATTCTTTTAATTTCATTATTATTTGGTGTCATTAGAAGAATCCACTAAACCAACAAGCGAAAAAATATACGCAAACATAATAATTCCGGCTCCGCGCTTGCACGGAGAGTATGCAACTAGTACTCATATAATGATAGCACGAGAGAAGTTGAAAGGGATATAATTAAGTTCTCTATATATTTCTTTTTAATCGATTCTTTTTTTATTTTGACTTGGACGTACGGTATCTATGACACACGAAGACTTTAAGCATGCTTTCGGCTTCGAAAAATTTCAAATATTGCGGCTGCTTTGCGATGATTCCGTCGAGAGTGGAATTTCGCCAGATACAATGATAATCTTCGCATGCACATGCACTCTTATTATTGTGTGTATGGATTGATTTCAATATGTTGTCAGTCATCTACGTGCTTCTTGACTGCTTTGTTCACTTTTTTAGAAACTCTGTACTAATATTCAAGGAAAAGTGAATATATCTTTATACAAGTATGAAGCTATCTATATTCACGTATGTGTCCAGAAACAATGTGATTTTCTTTCGCATGATAGTAGATCAAACTTAAAACCTAAAAAATATTGGTGTCTCAAATTCCTTTTCTTACCACTTAACCAAAAGGTACCAGACTAATTTATTTTTCTTTCTTTAATGTTCATATATATATATATAATTTATTTTCTTAAACAGTCGTAATTCAACTTTTAATTTTATATTTTATTGCTAGATAAACTGAAGGAATAATCATTGTTTCACAAAAAAAAATCTACTAACCGAGCTGGTTTTGAAATTTAGAAGGGGTATAGATGATTTATGGAATATTTGAACTAAACTTCTTTTATATATAAATTTGGAGGTCTAAATGAAAAATTTAGAGGACTTAAGTTTATTTTTTGAAGATTTTTATTGATATTAATTTTTTCAAAAGTTTTAGAAATCTAAAATAAGTTTTTTCCTATTGGGTTTAGAACCAATCCTACCTAATAACAATTTTTTAATAATATAAAGTTCTGGTCAAAGCCTATTATTTCCATTCAAACTTGGAAATCCCTAACACAATGGTTAGAGATTTTTTTTCTGGTTGAGTTAACTACTTCTGGTTACTAAGCAAATCTTGATTATAAAAACCAGTTTTTTTCTTTATATATAGTGTAAGGTTTGAAATAAGTTAAATATTTACATGTACCTGGTTAAACTCAAAAGAATGTCTTTTAAACATTGAGTAATAATTACATCTT